AGTTTTGGCTCGCTCAGATAACAGGACTAGAAATTTGTGGGTCATCTCAACGGACCAAGCCACATAATCAATCATCTAAGGACAGTACGGTAAGGGACAACCAACATTGGGACACGATACAAATCACCAATCACATTACAAAGTATAATACTCACATGTTAACGTAATCAAGTAAACACAGATAAACTTATACCTCGTTCGATCCAACACTACTTGAAGACATCAATGCAGGGGAAGATACAGACAATGTCGACCAACAGGGTGTATGACGAACTCCAAGTCTGGAAAAATGTCAAAACTTTTGCCTCTGCTGCAAGTAGTAATCAATCCTATGACGTCAAGACAAATTATACTAACATCTGTGCATATGAGCGTAATTTGTTGTTACGATTAAAGAACGATGTGGAATCTACAGAACAAATATATCAGTTAGTGAAATCCGAATAAAATATTTCCAAATTAAAAGGATTAATGAAAAGAAAAAAACAATACTAACACAAATTAGTTCCAATAAAATAAAAATGAAAAAAAATTACGTCTCGGTGTCTTGAAAACAAATAGGTAATGGAAGCTCACAAACTGGATTTGGGTACTTTGCGGGTCTCTTTCTCTTCCTTGAGACAGATAAACATCAAACACAATTAAAAGGATTCATGCGTGTACACGATATTAAAAACCTGCCAAACAAAATAAAAACTTAGCAAAACACAATTAAACATCAAACATAATTAAAAGGATTCATGCGTGTACACGATATTAAAAACCTGCCAAACAAAACAAAAACTTAGCAAAACACCTTTCCCTTGTAGACAGATCTGCGACAAATCCGAGGTGGGTTTGTGACAGATCCCTTGGATTATGGTGGTGGGTTCACTGTGGTGGGTTGACAGTGGTGGGTTTGTGACAGATCTAAGGTGGGTTCACAGTGGTAGGTTGACGGTGGGTTGACGATGGTGGGTTTGTGACATATCTGAGGTGGGTTGACGGTGGTGGGTGTGTGACAGATCTGAGGTGGGTTCACGATGGTGGGTTCACGTTGGGTTGACAGTGGTGGGTTTGTGACAGATCTCAAGTGGGTTCACGATGGTGGGTGTAACACCTACTCTCTACTACTATTCTTATAGTTCCTACTATGTAAAATATAGATATGTATATCATATGAAAGATAGTGGGCTCAAATTTTTCTTTACTCATAAAATATAATTCTTTACAAATACAAAATACTATTTATTAAAAACTTTCTACTTAATACAAAATCATAGCTAGTGGACAGTGGTGCCAATACTCTCCGCTCCTCGACGTCCATCCGACCGCTGCTTCTATTTCCTGCAAAACAGAGAAGAACAACGGGGTGAGCACAACAAGGCTCAGTAAGTAAATCTTCTACTACTTGTCCCCGCAACTCACTTTTTGGTTCTTCCTTACTCTAATGTTCTTCTATTTCTAATTCTCACTGTTTTTCTCTCTGTACTTATTCTCTTTTCTCCTTCTCTTATTCTTACTCACCATGAAGAAAAATCATGGTTCTCTCTTAGTCTCATCATACTCACCATGAAGGAAAATCATGGTTCTCTCTCTTATTCTCGTTATACTCTCACTAACCATGGAAGAACTCATGGTGCCTGCATATATGAGATGTACATGCAATTCATGCAAAAGAACTACATGTTTCTTTCTTCTACTCTTTATTCTTACTAACTCAAACTCTCTCATTCTTTCTCAAACTCTCTCTCCTTTTCTATCTCATTCTTTCTCAAGCTTTCTCATTCTTTAAGTCTTTCTATTATCTAATTCTCATTTCTGTTTCTCTTTCTCATAACTCTTTTCTACTAACTCTCCTTAGTAGTTACGCCCTCCTCTTACCGGAGGCACGGCTGGGACTCGTTCCTGCTCTACGTGACTTCTCCTCATTCTAGCCGATCAGACTTGGTTATGCATGGATTCGAAATCTTTGGCCATGTGAGTGTACAATCTCTCTATTGGGTACTCGGGTATAGCCCTCATCCGCATGCACTCTCACGGGTTACACCACTTCTCTTTCTCATACTCATGCCGCTCTCTCAATGCAGCATACATGCGGGAATACTCTACCCATTACTCATGGGTTCCCCATCGCATAACCTACTCTATGCTCTTATCTCTCTCTTATTCTTTCTCATGTTTTGCTCATCTCTTTCTCAAGCTAGTACGCATAATATAGCTTAACTCTTAGTTTTTCTGTTCTCTGTTCTTTCTATTTTTGTTCTTTCTCATTCTTACTCATTGAATGTCACGACCTCATCTGACCGGAGGCACGGCTGGGCGCTACCATTCCACGTGACTTCCGCTCATTTCTCTACTGATCGGATTTAGTCATGCATGGATTCGGAACCTTTGGCCATGTGAGTAGACATACTTTCTCTCTAGCTCTCTCAAATGTCACGACCCCTTCTTACCGGAGGCACGGCTGGAACCTCATGTTCCACTCTATGTGACGGTCATGGCCTCATCTGACCGGAGGCACGACTGGGCATCACAAAGCACCCACTCTCATGACTTTACTCATCACTCACAGGTTCCCCATCGCACAACCTATTATATTCTCTTCTGTAGCACTTTTCTGTCTTTTATTCGTTAGTGCTCAATCTCTCTTTCTCTTTACTATTAGAGTGTTCTCATTTTCTTTACTCTTAGAGTTGCTATTCTCAACAATCTCTACTCTTTCTTACTCAAAACTATTACTCATAGTATAACTTATACTCAAAATACTCTTGCTTGAGCTAATACTCATCTCTTTTTCAATATAGCTTAACTGTTAGAGTAGTCTATTCACAAAGATCTCTACTCTTTCTCAAGCTATTTCTCAATGCATAACCAATGCATATGAATGGCTCATACTCATTAATACACTCAAGAAATGCCAACATGCAATGTTACAAGAATTAAGGTTCATAACTCATTCTCATGCTTCTCTTAGGCATTTCATCAAACAACTCATGTGCATACAAAAACTCTACTTTATTGAAGAACTCTATTTCTCTCTTAGGCCATCCCAAAATGGGAGGAAATTCTCTTGCATGATCTCATTCCCTGTCAAGGAAACATACTCCCAAACATCTACTCCAACTTCTTCCAATCTCAATCAAACTCAACTCATCATCATGCAACACTTCTCATAACTCAAATATATTCACAATCAACATAAATAACTACTCATATCATCTCAATCTCTACACAAAAGCTTATTCAAAACTCAAGTTGGTTGGATTTACTTACCTCATACTTGAGTAGTCTCCACTAAAGCTCTCTACTCTTGTTGGACCATAGCTTTCCCTTATTTCCTAAGCATAAACTTGGGAAGAACTTAACCCTTACAAAAATAAAATTTATATCTAAAGTAGGGATTCTTACCTCTTCTTGCTTAGGATCACTTCTTTGTCAAATTCCAACTCAAACTCTCAAAAATCCCTTGGAAGATTGAGTGAGGAATTGAGAGAAAATTGGAGATGAAGAGGCGGTGGAAATGGGTGAAATGAAGGGTTCTCTACACTTAACCCCTTTTTAACTCAACTTATATACAAGCATTCCCATTTTGTCCTTACTCTTTCTTGAAAATTTCACCTTTATCCTTTAATTCTTTACAAACTCACCCCCATTTTACACTATTCTCCATGAAGTTTCCTTGCATTTGACTCCCCACTTTTCCTGCTAATTAGGGGTAGAAAGGTCAATTTACCCCTATGGAGAATTCTCTAAAAACCTCAAGAACTTTTCTGCCGTCTCGTCGCCACGGCAAAGATCTTTCTGTCACCCCGGCGAAACATTCCAGAACTGACATTGCCAACACAGAACCAACGTCGCCGCGGCGAAGCTTCTCCCTCGCCCCGGCGAAGACTGCAACTCCCAAAATCTGCCAAGTCTTGATCAATTCCAAGGTAAACACTCAACCAAACCCAAAACATACACTCAACCAAGGGCCAACCAAACAACATGAACAATATACAAACTCATTTAAGGGGAATTCAGTAAACCTTTAGGCCATACTATAAACAATGGCTACATATCTCAAGCGGGGCGTTACAGTGGGTTCATGGTGGGTTCACGGTGGTGGGTTCATGGTGGTGGGTTTGTGACAGATCTGTGGTGTGTTCACGGTGGTGGGTTCACGGTAGTGGGTTTGTGACAGATCTGAGGTGGGTTCACAGTGGTGGGTTTGTGACAGATCTGTGGGTTCACGGTGGTGGGTTTGTGATGATCAACTCCGATCGCGTTTGTGCTGTGATGATGGCAGCAGATTGATCGGGTGGTGTTGTGGGGTGGTTTTCTGATTCAGGTGGCTAGTCTAATATGCTTTGTTTTGTATTTGCAGGTGGAAGATTATGTTGGAGAAGAAAGATGGTTTGTGATGGTGGTGAAGCTACGAAGGTGGTAATGCAAAGTGAGAAAGTGACGATGGTGAAGCACTGAAGCTGGTAATGCAAATTGAGAAAGTGAAATGGTGAAGCATTGAAGCTGGTAATGGATACTGAGAAAGTGAAATGGTGAAGCAGTGAAGAAAAGTGAAAAGCAAACTGTAACGGTCAAAAAATTGTTAGGATAGTTGTCAGAATTTTATTTTCAGGACAGTATTGTGTAAATATTGAACCAAACGCTATCTGTAAAATCCGGTTGAGAATATAGATAAAAATATTTTACCAAACACACACATTATATTCAAGGTTATTATAATATTTTAATCCTTTTACCTGAGTCTGACATCAATAGACGGGAAATAAAACAATTATACAAATGATATATTTTTAACATTTGAGAGGTAATTTTGTTAAAAATGACATTCATTCTCCACGAAATTCAAATGCAAACTGAATTTTTTATTTTACTCCTTTTTAACTTTTCGACTTTAGATTGCCGGTTCAAGAAGTAATCAATTATCAAACCAAATTCCGAGAAAACAAAGTTCCCAAAATGTCCTCTATTCTATATAAAAATTGTCGCGTGTGAGATCTCACTTCTCACGTGTGATTCACGCGGTGATTTATTTATCTTCTGGAGCTTTCTTTTTAAAACGAAATCGTTAATCATCGTATCGTTTTTGGCGCTGGTCCTCGATTGTACCATCTTCGATTCAGGTGAGTGTTCAAAATATTTGATCTATGCTAGAGTTTGATATAATCCATCTTCAATCTTTGAAATAATGTCGCAATTGATCTTTTCTCTCTGCAGTATTGCAAAATCTTGAGGATCGTCTCTCTTTTAAGGTAAAAAACCAAATCTCCTTTAAAATTGGTTTTTTTTTTTTTTTTTTTTTGCTATCTTTAATGATTAACACGCATGCGCATGTTTTTGTGATGGAGTTGAAATCATCTCTGTTTCCAATTTCCATAAGGTTTTATGATTTTCTTTTCTTTGGTTATTTTTCTTGATTGGACTTGTAATCTTATAAAAGTATGCATCTTTTTTCTAAATACGTACGTAGATATTATTTTTGTGAGGCCCTAAAGTAATTTGTATCCTTTCTGTTTTATTTCGTGAAATTTTTTATCTGTTATCTACTGCTTGTATGGTTTATATGGCTGTGTCAACACCAAGAATTTTATTTTGAACTCCTTACAGAATACGGAACAATTTCTCTAATTCCCAGCAACGCTATGGAATTTAATTCTAGCTGAATTTAAATGACCCAAAAAGGCCATGTATGTTGGTGAACTTCTGAAACTTTGTCTATGTTGCATTCAGCTTTTTAACCACGGAGCAACCATAGAAATTACAAATTCTGCCATATAGACTTAGAACCTTTTTATTTTATTTTATTTTTTTTAATTTATTTATTTTTTGTTATTATCTTTCTTTCCTTTGACGGATAAAGCGAAATTTCGGATTTTGGTATATATCAAGTAGCAGGAAAATGTTACATTTCATTCTATAATCTATATAAATTATTAATTGTAGTCTTTTAAAATGAAGTTATGTTTTCATTTTTCCCTGACAACCTGGTATGAATACTGAAGATCATAACACTTTGTTTGAGGCTGAACCATTGGTTTGATTGTGTCACCAAATATTGGTTTCCTCCACTTAAGACAAAATAAAGAAAATCATGATATTCATTTTCTAACAAGGACTTCTTCTAAAGTTAAAGCTTCATTTAAATATGATACCTAATCTTAGTTCTTACTATATTATGTTTTTAATATTATCATTTTTATGGCTATTATGGAAGAATCATTGCCAAGTCCAGTAATAATGTAACCATGGTTTTTCTTGAGGTGGGATGGGATTGAATGTCCTAATATTCTTCTGTTGTCAGTATTATAAGCCCTTACAAGCGTTGGTATATTCACCCATGCAAGTTAGCTTTTTTAGGTGAGTTAGAAAAATTCCTATATGCCTCACATAATAGATTTACTTATTACTCATTGTTAACCCTTAAACCGATAAAATATCACCCCTTAATCACAAATAACATTGAATCAGAATTCAGTTTGTTGCATTGACTAGGAAAAGGAGGAAGTATATAATTCCTCATTATATAACATTTTGTGATTTAAAAGTATTTGAATTTCTTAGCAATTTGCACACATTAATAGATTGGGAGATTTCTGTTAATTTATTGCTGGTCATCACGATTTTGCAACAGAGCTTCCTGTTTGGTCTCCATTTTCACTCTGTTTCAAATTATACAGTTGCTTAGCTTATTATGTAGTGGTTCTGTTATTTGACTTGCATCAGGAGGAAGTGAAGCAAAAGAAGGAATGGCTGATGACAAAGGCATTACTGAAAGTGATAAGAAAGACTCTGCTGCTTCTGCGCCTGAGATAGGAAAAAAGAAGAACAGGGGAATCATTTCTCGTATTTGGAATAGTATCTTCAGACTAAAGGGGGATGATTTTGAGAAGAGATTGCAATACATTTCTAAAGAAGAAGCTTCTGTTCTTGCTAGAATGAAAAGGAGATCCCAAACTTGGAGGAGGATGACTAGGCATCTTATTATATTCACTGTCATTTTTGAGGTGTTTTCTCGTTTATCACTTTAAGTCTTGCGTTTTTTGTTTCAATTTGAAAATCTTTAATTTTTTTCTTTTCTTTTTATTAATCAAACCATTCAGATTCATTTTCTTTTCAAGGAATGCTGAGATTGGCTATAATCAATTAGTAGCACCTTCCTCTATGATTGTTAAATACTCTCTTTTGAGGCAGTTAACTTATAGATTTCTTAACTAGTCATTGAAAGAACTCTGTTGTGATTATCACAAAAATTTATCTTTTTCATGGTTTGTTTATTGGAGAGTAGGTATATAGTTGGAACCATTGACCATGTAATATAAACTTGTGTTCCTTCATTGTTTTGGATTTATAACTGCTATGATTCTTCAGAAAGGGAATAAGGAATTGCAGCTGTTATATGGACATAATTTTATGTTCGTGGTGAATGAAAATTTTAGTGAATTCCATTGCTTTAAAAACAAATTTCTCATTGGCAAATGAATATAGAGTAAGAGTTTGAGCCATCCAGTTGATTTGAATGTTTTTTCTCATGTCAGTAGGTTTCTGGACGATCAGTAGTGTTCTATTATGCCTTAAAGATTCTCACTTCTCTGATCACTTTTTGCTGCTGCTCCTGCTTAGATCTTTTTATTGGCACCGGGAAAAAACTAATGGATGATTTGTTATGGAATTTTGAAAAAAGTAGAGTGGTTTCACCCTTTTATACTTTCCAGAACCCATGAGTTGTCAATAGTTCCCTTAACATGATGCTTTTTACTTTTTTAGATTATTTCTTTGATATTTTTTTTTTCAAATGCTATCAATCCTTAGGTTATCGCGGTTGGTTATGCTATCATGACTACAAGATCAATGGACTTAGATTGGAAAATGAGGGCTTTTCGAGTTTTGCCGATGTTCCTGTTGCCTGGTTTATCTACTCTTGCTTATTCAGCATTTAGGAACTTTGCAAGGATCTGTAAGTTTTTTTCTCTATGGAACTGTTATTGTTTATTGCAACTTTTTGTTCACTTTAGAATAATGTCTGTTAAATATTAATACCAAACCCATATCTGATAACTTAAGCTTTTGAGTCAAGTGGTAACTTAACAATTTCAGTATTCCATTGATTTAAAACTTAGACGATGCTCTTGTATTTCTATTGCCACACATGCATGTTCTTGTTGTCTAAATTTGAATAAAATGTCATGACTTCATGCTATACAAGATCTACTAGGACTGGTGTATTGATAATCAACCTATATTTTATCTGATGTTTATAGGTGATCGCAGGGACCAGAAAACTCTGGAACGGCTTCGGGCTGAGAGGCAAGCAAAAATTGATGAACTTAAAGAGAGGACAAATTATTACACTACTCAACAGCTCATTCAGGTAATGATTAGTAGCTAGTCATATTATGTTTGCTTCCGTGAACTTTATTTTAGTTGTTTTATTGAACCCTTTTCCAAGTTCCATTTGTTTGTAGAATTTTTTAAGTATAATACCAATGGTTGAGATATACTAGTTAATGGTAAGGTAAGCTTTTTTATTTTCCTCTTTATGCTCTTTGAATTAGTAACTTCTTTAGGAAATTCTAGAATTTGGTGGTATATTTTTAAAATTAGCTTAAAAGTTACTGCATCTATCTGGATTTTATAGAGTGAGTTTTAATAATACTTCTAATTGGAGCCTAATAAATGATTATTACCCAATCAAAAGATATGAACAAAATGTACTCTTTTAATTTTGGGCTTTTGCATAAAGCAGCTTCTATTGATCTTCAGATGGCATACTGTGAGCTGAATGAAATGAAGGATCTTTGCAGATGTAGTACATATAATTTATTTCAGCAGTTGTGAATTTTACTAAGTGTTAGCTGTCTCATGCAGAGATATGATCCTGACCCAGCAGCAAAGGCTGCTGCTGCAACTGTCCTGGCATCTAAACTGGGTTCTGATTCAGGTTTGAAAGTGTATTTAGGGGATGAACCTAAACTCAATGTTGCTACAGCGAAGAGCAATGATGTTGAGGTTGTGCAATCTGGTGGTCTTCGAAATCGTAAGCAACTGCATACCAGATCCGGTAGTGCCGGAAGCAATCCACTGCATCATTCTGAAGAAGAAACCTCTCATTCACAAACTTCTGAGCATCCACAAACTTCTGAGCATAATAACGTTGTTGTCAACCATCACTATCCGCAGGGTTCTACCATGAATGATGGAGGATGGATTGCTCGAATTGCTGCATTGCTTGTTGGGGAAGATCCTACACAATCTTATGCTCTCATATGTGGCAACTGCCATATGCACAATGGTGAGTTAACTGCCTCAAGCACACTCGCATGCATACCCTTGGATCAGTTTTATTTTTTATTTCAAGATGTGTTAGCTTGAAGATAATAAATTTTGTGTGTTCTTGTTTTCTGCAGGTCTTGCAAGGAAGGAGGATTTCTTGTATATTACTTACTACTGCCCCCACTGTCATGCCCTTAACCGGCCAAAAGAATCAGAAGAGCATGTTTCAAGTTCTATTACCTCTTCTCCTAAAATGAGCTTCTTGACCAAAGATTCGAACATCAATCCCAGTATTCCTTTGGGTGATAGTATACACCAAAGTAATAGTCCTGTGAAAGAAGGTTTGGAAGTTGAGCAAGTTGGGATAACTGGCCATGATTAGTTTAAAGGCAGTGGCATACTTCTTGGGTGATATGCTTTTCCCTATACATTTGGCTTTGAATCTTTCTGGATTGGAGATGTGGTTGTGAGATTTGTAGGACATATCATAGGCAAGGACTTCTGTGCTTTACGATTATATAACCTTGTAAGAGACATTTCATACGGAAAATTTTTTATTGCATAACCTAGTCAGAGGCTGTACTTTGATCAAACAAATGTCATAATCAATTGTGCCTATAATTTATTACTTTGAGGTTGTTTGCAAAAGATTTTAGATTTGCTGCAAGAGGGTCATATATCATATGAGGATGTTGTGAACTTAAATGAAAATTTTGGAATGAGTAAATATTACATATGGTAACATTCATAAATGTATCATTTCGATGTCTGTATTAGATGACAGTAGAATGCATAGAAGTATAGCTTTTGGATAATAAAAGAGAGTTGAACCAGAAAAAAATTGCAGCGGGAATCTGGGTATTTCATGTCTTTCTCAAGGTCTTGTAAGCTTTGCATCATCCAAATTCCAATCTCAATTGCTCTTTCTCACTCTAAACATGACTTTTTTCTTCCGTTATCTAACTAATAATTAAAGATAAAAATTTCACAAGTCAGCGACCTTACCACCTCATGGAATCAGCCAAGAGTAAACAAATTATCCCACTATCACTCTTCTGCCTACGCATATCCTCGTTCAAAGTCTCTATAGACTCCCTCTCAAATCAATCTTGACTTTAAGGTGTGTTTCTGATAGGAACCCACTCCAATAACTCAATAATTTAGGCTGGGCCATGGGTCTTTCATGGGCTTAGGTAGAACTCTCCTTGGAAAACCGACTTGCCAAGGAAGGGTGCCCAAGCCTTTATAACCCACATGTCCACCATTTTTCCTTTCAATGTGGGATCCTAACATTCCATCACGCTTCCACAACCGACGTTCACGTCGGCCTCTTTACCCCTTGGGTGACTACGCGGATCTCTTTTCCCTCGGGCTTCCATGCCCTTTCTTGGGGTAGTAGCCCGAGCCCAAGGCCAGCCTATCACGGGTCAGCCTGCCACGCGTGCACTGCCACATAGGCGCGGGATCATGCTTTGATACCAATTGATAGACCCTGACCGGCAAATCAACCAGTAATGCCAAACAATATATCCAACAGTTCACAATCAATGGTCACAACCAGAAAAGAAATAACTCTCTCTATATTGATATCAAAACATAACAATGCATCCAGCGATAATACATCCAGAGGCCATGTTCTATCAGCAACCCAGTAAACCAATAACAACTAAAAATAATGTAAAGTACAATAAAGAAAACAATAAACGATAAGACTGAACTTCGAGGGTCAGTGACCTCCCTTCCAAACCTTAACCTTCTCTCTTAATATCCTCTTTCTTTTCTCCATCTCCTTTTTATTCCCTCCTGATCCCACATTGAAAGGGAAAATGGTGGGCATGTGGGTTATAAAGGCTTGGGCACCCTCCCTTGGCAAGCCGGTTTTCCAAGGAGAGTTCTACCCAATCCCATGAAAGACTCATGGCCCAGCCCAAATTGTTGAGTTATTGGAGTGGGTTCCTATCAAGTGGTATCAGAGCACTGGGTTTTGGGTAATGGTCTTGACAAGGATGGATTCTAGAATGGATAATGTAGAGAGAGAGGTTACAAAGTTAGGAGTTGAAATGGGCACTATCCGAGAGTGTTTGGTTGAGTTATAGTCCTGGGTGCGAAGAAAGGATGAAGAAGAAGCTGGTAGAGTAGAGATGAGTTCATCGGAAAATACCCGTTCTCACCAAAAAGAAAATCCAAATGGAGCAAGTGGGTTTGGTAACAATAGCCAAAGTCGTAGTGAAATGAGTGGACGAAAATTGGAGATGCCAATATTTTCCGGCGAAGACCCTTACAGATGGATTTTTAGAGTAGAGCATTACTTCAACCTCAACGAAATATCTGAGGAAGGGAAATTGACAGCGACAGCTGTCTGTATGGAAGGTGAAGCCATAAACTGGTTCCAGTGGACTGAATCCAGAACTTCGGCTAGTTTGTGGGCTATGTTTAAGCTTGCACTACTCCAGAGGTTTAGTGGATCACAAGAGCTCAACCCGTATGAGTCTTTAATGGCAATGAAACAGACTGGTTCAGTCGTAGAGTTTCGTTGACAGTTTGAAGCAGTAGCTGCACTTTTGGTAAGGGAGAATGAGGAAATACTGCAGGCTGCATTTGTTAATGGGCTGAAAGTTGAGATTAGAGCGAAGTCCGTTTATTTCAACCCAATTCTTTAATCCAAATAACAGATCTAGCCCAAAGAATAGAGGAGAGAAATCAGGCTTTAGAAGAAGCCCTAGTAGGAGCAAACAAGATTTCACATGTAAATGGGCCTGGGTCTTCATACGGGTCCAACAACCATGGATCCAGAAGCTTGACCTGATTTGATAACCCAAGCTTGACCCGATTTGAAAATAACCCAAAATTCCCAAATACAATTGAATCCCTAAAATCAAATCCCACTTCCCATTTCAGTCGACGATCACTGGAGTCTTCAATACACAGCTCGTCGACCAACTTCTCCAGTCGCGACCAACCACCGTCGTCTTTTCGGCCATTTGAACGACAGAACTTCCAACGAAGAGAGTTCCCATTCTGACGAATGACAGATGTAGAAATTAAAAAAAAAAAAAAAAAAAAGAGGAAAAGAGAAAGGCCTTTTCTTTAGATGCGACAGTAAGTACTCTTTTGGGCACAAATGTGGTGAGAAGCAGTTCCAAATCATCTTGATTGATGAACAAGAAGATGACCCAGACCTGATTGGGGGTGGAGAAATCTTCGAACCTGGAATGGAGCAATAGTAGGAAAATGTTGAACTTTCTCTTAGCTCGATGGTGGGGATTCATGGTCCAAAGACAATGAAGCTCAAGGGAAGAATCCAAGGTAAGGAATTGATTGTGTTGATTGATAGTGGGGCTTCCCACAATTTTATTAGTTCAAAGGTGGCTGAGCGGTTGGGAATATCAGTGGTAAGGACTCAGTCCTTTGGGGTCAGTGTGCGTGACAGGTATAGTGTGAGGTGTGAAGAAGAGTGTAGAGATGTTTGTATGGAGCTACAAGCGGTGACAATTATTCAAAACTTTTTCCCATTTGACATGAGCAGTGCTGACGTGGTTCTGGGCATTGCATGGCTTGAGACTTTAGGTGAGACCACTGATTGGAGGAAGCAAACCATAAGGTTCAAACTGGGAGACTAGACAGTTTGTCTGTGTGGGGATCCATCTCTTAACAAAACCATGGTGTCTCTCAAAGCTATGATTAAGGTGTTGCATTGTGAAGGGCATGGGTGTTTGATAGAGTTTAGGCAGATTCAGTCACAGTGTGATAAAAATTGGGATATCGACGACTGATTACTGGAGGTGTTGGAGAAATTTTAGTTGAGTTTTCGATCCACTTCTCGGGTTACCACCTGCCAGGTCAAGAGACCATACCATTCAGTTAGTTCCAGGAACTCAACCACCAAACCTTAGACCATATAGGTACCCTTACTATTAGAAAAATGAAATAGAGCGCATTGTCAAGGAAATGCTAGCTTCGGGAATTATAAAGCCGAGCATCAACCCATTCTTAAGCACCGTTTTATTGGTGAAGAAGAATGATGGAGGGTGGAGATTTTGTGTGGATTATCAGGCAGTTAACAAGGTTACAGTTCCAGACAAATTTCTGATCCCAACTATCGACGAGTTATTTGATGAGTTAGAAGGGGCAACAGTGTTTTCTAAGCTCGATTTGAAATCAGGATATCATCAAATCAGATTTAGACCAGAGGACTGTTAGAGTAGATGCCCTAGAGCCAATCAATTATTTTAGAATTGACTCTTTGTAATAATATTCATTAATCAATAAAAGGCATTTTATTCTATATCCCGTATATCATTATTATTGCAATATGTATTGATATATGTCCTTAGAATGGTAGAATCATGATGAGGGTATCAAATGTTTCAAATCTTGATAGTGAGAACCCTATGAGCACATACAGTGGCCATTCTAGAAACGTCCATAGCCCTAGTATTATTTTTAAGTAAGGGCACAGATAATATGGTAAGGCTATCATAGTGTTGAACGACCCTATCGAAAGGCAGTGACTGATCTCACTTGTCAAAGTTGTTTGGTGACAACCTGGTGTAACACATGGATGCTTGCTGTAGGCGGATACACCGTAGTAAGTTCGCTAGGCTGACCCACCAGAGGATTCCATATGGATGGTAACCCAAGTGTCTATGGAATAAATCCTCTAATGAATGGTGGTACATGTGATCCTTATACTTGAGATCACCGGAGCTCCTTGTGCACCGATTGGTGCAGTTTGACACTAGCCTAACGTAGTTCTATTCAAAGCTGTCAATACAGTGGTGATTAGCTGCATCAAGGAGTGTATCAAGACTATGGTGGATCGACAGAGGATTCATCACTCCCAGGTACGAGAGAGGTTATCTCATGGCGCAATTCAGTATATGGCAATGACACTAAAACTGTGGCCACAGTGGGATTGAGTTGTTGCTCTATCGGGATTATAATACAGGTCATTGGTCTAGAAACTAAATACATAATACCGAGAGTAACCGAAGGTTGACACTATTTCTATGCCTTCGTCTCGTCGAGATAACGAATGATGAAAGGATCGAATTGTACGGTAACCATATCGTTGAAAGGTAACTACTTTGCTGAATCTGAATCTATCAGGTGGCCATGATGCCTTGCTAGGGGCCAATCTTGGTTTGTGTATTAGTGAGACGATTAATTGGTGTTAATCGCGATACTATACACTGCCGGTTTGATGAGGAGCCTATGGGTCACACACAAAGAAGATAATTTAAGACTCAGGAAGAAAGAATGGCGTTTTCGTCTTTTTAGGCGAAAGGGTATTTTGGTAATTTCACAGTGTAATTAAATTTGCTGAGGTCATAGCCTTTATTTAATTAGAAAAAATAAATAAGTGAAATTACGTTTAAATATGTGTTCGCACATATTTAAATATATTATCATTATTGTTAAATGTTAATATATATTAAATATATATTAATTGATTTTAATTGAGATAATAATGGAAAATAAAAATATCAAATTGGGAGTGTTTGGTAACATGGGGTGTTTGGGTTAAAGCCCAAGCCTATTCCATATAGGAATAGGGCAACTTAATTTACTATAAAAGAAAAGGTGTGTGTTAATTAATATAGACAAAATTTTTCTCTTTGAAAAACCACACATACAGCAGCCCCATT